GTTTCATGTTACTGTTGTATGTTGTACTGTATTGTAAAGCGCTCAGAGCCTGTGTACTTTATTCGGGGTTGAGCGCTGTATAAATGTCATTTATTATTTATTAAGATAAGATAAGATAAGATAAGATAAGATAAGATAAGATAAGATAAGATATTACTTTATTGCCTCAGAGGAGAATTTTTCCTGGTTGTACATGACCGTAAAAACACATACAGGAATACATAAAAATTTTGAATTATATACTCGTATTACTCACATTAAATTCAATGTCAAAAAGAAAAGTAAAGCTTACAAATGTACATGTCTCATCTGATGCATCATTCAACCACATGCAGGAAATTAATTAGTTACTTACGTTTGTTTTTTCAGCTCTTTCAGTGGTGATACCGGTATTACGTTTTTTCAGGGTTTCCTTGACACCCTCAATCCACCTTTTGCGAGGCCTTCTTCTTCCTTTATAGCCTGAGTGTTTAGTGTTGTTGGCTCTCGAGGCTGGCTGGTCAGGTGACATACGTGACAGGTGGCCGAACCATTTTTTCTCTGTCTTTCTATCAAATGCAAGCAGGACTCAGAGCCAGTAGCTGCGCTTACCTCTTCATTTCTCTGCAAGTCTCGTCTTGTGATGTTGAAGGTTTTAATTTAATTACAAGACTGTTAAGCCAGCCATACACCCTCAAGTGAATTTGATCAAGCTCATTGGACCAAGCTTACTTGCACAAAGACGGCCCAAGTCGCGTTCATGCTATGAACACACACCTTGCACAAGTAAAGTATATCAATCAGTTTCATTTGTTCAAATAGCTGCAAGAAGAGACGTCATCGCCGTGTGTGCTCTTTTTTGTGGGTTTTAAAATGTTTACTTTTAATTTTGATGATTTCTCTGTTTGCTGTCTGATCAAAATGATGAACAAATCGCATTAATTGATTATACGCTGTCTTTTAATATCATATTGCTGTATTTATTATATGTGATTTTCCACAAACAGTCGTGTGATTTGTAGCGTTCAATGAGAGTTAGAAAATTTTCTTTAAACCAGAAATCCATCAGAATAAATCTCACAATAATTGTATTGCACTTTAAATTTTTTAAAACGTTAATAAAGAATAGATCGAGACCGGCACAATAATGTAATATAAATTTAAACAAAACCAACAACGCAATAGGCCTACACACAAGCCAAGGCTGTGGTGAGTTAGGAGGGGGGGTGTGGGGGGGGGGGGGGGTACGCGGTGGCGACAAGAAATCAAACAAAACTTGGTCATTTTCATGCCAAGCCCATTGGAGTCAATTTGCTTTCGCCAAAC